ACAGCACAGTTGTTGAACTTTCTGTTTTGCAACTCCATTTAGAAGCAACATCCACATGTAACTCCACAGGTTGTGAGACTGTTCACAGCTTGGTTGTTGAACTCTCTGGATTCATCTTGGTATCTTGTACATCAATTCTTCCCAAATTGTGATTTTGGCACTTAGAATCATCAATCTACAATAAAAACACAAAATGCCAATGTATGATCCGAAACAGAGATAATCCATGACTAAATCCTTCAATGAATGCAATTATGCATGCAAATGACCTAAACTAAGACATGAATGCAATTACATGTACTCACACATCAGTTAACAGTGTTGGGTAAACTTAAATGTGGGTAGTTACATTTAATAGTGTTGGTAGAATTAAGTATCTTAGGAGATTGCAAAAGTTAGGAGTGCTTCTAATAATGATTGTGACGTGCAATAGAGGTCATTAATTTATTGTTTAGGTAGTAGTTGTATTTAATGGATGTAGTTGAAGGGCCAAGACAAAAGGGTCTATAAATAGTTCTTGTACAACTCAATGTATTTACACAACAAGTAATACAAGAGAGTTTTTATCCAGAAAGACTTGTTTGTCAACAAATTGGCATCAGAGCTAGAGAGCCTGAGTATCTAAGTGCTTAAGAAAAAGTGTTTGAGAGCTAGAGAGTTTGAGCGAGATGATCAACCTTGCAAACAATATGCACTTGCCTAAGTTAACAAAAGTCATCAACTATGACAACTGAAGTTTATAGACGAAGGCCCTCCTTGATTTCCAAGAAGTATGGAAAGTAGTTGAAAATGGGCACAAGAACCGTTAGACATTGAAGAATAGACGATTGCCTAACTTGTTGCGTTGAAAGCATTGCAAGTGAAGGACAAAGCATCCATGTACGTGTTGTACCGAGTTGTCCATGAGTCCAACTTTGACAACATAGCAAATGCTAATTCTTCAAAAGAAGCGTGGGATATATTAGAGAAAGCTTATAAAGGGGATAATTGTATAAAGTAGGTCAAACTTCAAACTCTCAAAGGCGAGCTTGAAAGCATGAGGATGAAAGAGGTTGAAGGAGTGGCCCTGTACGTCTCTCGGGCTGAGACGTGATGAACCCACTTGAAAGGAATGGAGAAACACTGCCCACTAATATAAGGACCTGTCGACGCTCTCAATTGAAGAGTTTGTCAGGTCACTTGAGGCGCATGAGCAGTAGAGAAGGAAGAAGAAGGAAGAGTCTCTCAATCAAGCACTTTAGGCAAAGGAAACCATAACCAGAAGAAGGCACCTTATACAAAAAAACACTCAAGGTCATGGTGGTAGAGGTAGAGGAGGATATGAAAAAGGTAAAGAACAATTTGGTCAAGAAAATTGGCATGGCCAAGGTTGAGGTCAACGGAGAGGAGGTTGGTCAAGCAACTCAAGCATAGAGTGCTTTAATTGTGGAAAGTATGGCCATTGCACAAAAGACTGCAAGTCAAACAAGTGCTACAATTGTGGCAATGTCGAGCTTTTCGTGAAGGATTGCTTTATACATAAGACCAGATGAAAGATATGTCGAAGAGGTCTTGAAGAAGTTTAAAATGTCAAGTTGCAACCCGGTTTCCACCCAATGGAACCAGGCACAATGCTTTCAAAATATAGTGAGCGAGACCGAGTTGATGCAAGAAAATACCGAAGTTTGATTAGAAGTCTTAGGCATCTTACAAATACAAGACCAATTCAATGCTAACCCCTTGTTTACTTGAATGGATTTGGGAGAGAGTGATTGAATGGATTTGAGAGGATTTGAAGTTAAATTTTTTTGTTGTTTAGTTGAGTGAATTTGGAGGTAAGTGAGAGTGGATTTGGAAATAAAGGGATTGTGATTCGAGTTGATAACAAATCAGTCACTAAAATGGCGAAGAACCCAATAAATAATGAGAGACGCAAGCATATTGATGTTCAGTTTCACTTCATCTGAGAACAAGTGAAAGAAGGAAACATGGCGTTAGAGCACATAGGAAGTCGAGAACAAGCTACTGATATGTTCATGAAGCCATTATCGACCACTCAATTCGAAAATAACAAGAGGGTGATTGGAATGAAGGACAACAAAGACATTTAAGTTTATGGGGAGATTTTGTTGGGTAAACTTAAATGTGGCTAGTTGCCTTTAGTAGTGTTGGTAGAATTAAGTGTCTTAGGAGATTGCAAAGGTTAGGAGTACTTTTAGTAATGATTGTGGCATGCAATACAGTTCATTAATTATGTTTTAGGTAGTAGTTGTATTTAATGGATGTAGTTAAAGAGCCAAGACAAAATAGTCTATAAATAGTTCTTGTACTATTCAACGTATTTACACAACAAGTAATACAAGAGAGTGTTTATCTAGAAAGACTTGTTTGTCAAAAAAATAAACACATGGTTAAAGTGTCCAAAATTTCATATTTCTTATAATGAAATATCTAAACAAAATATCTTATGACATTGGATTTTAAATTTCTTCAAAATTGCATTCTACATAGATGTTATAACATTCTCTACACGAAAGACACAAAGGAGAGAAAATTGGTAAACAAATGTTCAAATTTCACATCTAACCTTACATTGAATATATAAATTCAGCCCTCAACCATCATGCCTTTTAGATGCCATCCTTCAATCTTTGATCCTTTATTCATTAGCAAATCCTGCATATCTAAAAATCAAAGAGATGACGTATTCCAATACCAAATAATCATAACACGTTCAGCTTGGTTTGATATCTGAAGCACTAATATGATAAAATCGCCATTAAAACTCAATTAACTTTAGGCCAAAAACTAAAAAAGATCTCACCTAGTTTAAATCCTACAATAAGCCTCTAGCAATCATTTCACGAAGAAGTTTCTCAGCCATATCATTTTTATTTTCATCAAAGAGATAACAAATAACAGTTTCATAAGTTACAGCATTAGGGTTGCAACCACTTTCTTCCATTTCTGACAGCATGGCCAAAGCTTCACCAAACAAGCCCCATTTACAAAGTCCATTGATCATAACATTATATGTCCTGACATTTAGATGAAATCCTTTAATCAAAAGATTCTGGAAAATCTCTTGTGCCCTCTTTAGTCTTCCACCTTTGCAAAATCCATCAATAAGTATTGTGTATGTATGCTCAGTGGGCTGAAGTCCACTGTCTTTAATTTTTTTGAGTAGTTCAATTGCCCTATCTACCTGATGGCTTTTGCACAAAGCATGTAACAAACAATTGTAGGTGACTACATCAACATGTTGACCAGTATCATGCATCTCATCAATAAGCTTCCAAACATGAGATAGTTTTCCTGATTTGCACAAACCATCAATAACGGAATTGTAAGTCACTGTATTTGGAACAATATTTTTCTGATGCATTTTTTCAAACATATTGACCGCCTCATCCACCATCTTATTCTTACATAATCCATTAATCATGATGTTGTAGCTCCGAACATCCGGAATCACTCCCCTTAAAGTCATAGTGTTAAATACATCTTTGGCCCTCTTCACATCCTTGACTAAATAATACCCATCCATTAAAGAATTATAGGTAATAACATTAAGTTTTACACCAGCTTTCACCATCACAGCCAGCATATGTTTAGCTTGTTTCAACTTTCCTTCCTTACAGAAGGCATCAACCAATACATTGAAGGTATACACATCCGGGCTGATGCTTTTCAGTACCATTTGGCTAAATAAATCAATGGCTTCGTGCAATTGATCCACAATGCAGAAACCATACATTAAAGCAGTGTAAGTGATGACATTGGGAGAAACTCCCTTGACAACCATTTCAGAGTATAAATCATTAGCCTCAGCAACAAGTTTATCTTTGCATAGGCTATCAATGATTGAGCTGTACATTACCACATTAGGCATGACCAAACGTCCTTCAATCTTTCTCAGCAACTGCACAGCAACCCTGGTTTCTCCACTCTTGCATAACCCATTGATTAAGGTTCCATAACTAACTTGATCCAACCGAACTCCCTGAGCTACCACATTGTCGTGAAAGATCAGTGCTTTCTTGACCTCACCACTGATACAGAGACCATTGATGAGTGTGTTGAAGGTTACGGTATTGGGGTGATGACCCGTCTTGAGAATTTTGCCGAACACAGAGAAAGCTGAGGCCATTTGATGGAGGTGGCAAAAGCAATTGATGAGGATGGTTAAAGTGCAAACGGTGGGAATAACTCCACTGGATTCCATCTGCTTAGAGAGGGAAATGACTGTAGGGTAGTGATTGATCCTCATAAGTGATCCTAGAATGCGATTAAACTGAATGATGGGTGGTGGTTGATGCATTTGAAGCATGTCATTGAACAAGGTAACGGCATCTTGGGGATTGTGAAAGCATGAGGGGCGAGAGTGTGAATGAAGGTGATAAGAAAGAAGAAAAGGAGGAAAATTGTGAAACGAAAGAGGGTGAGAAAGACAAAGGGTAAGCTTTAACCTTAGCATTTGATTGTGAAACAGGTAAGAAGAAAAATAAAAACTCAAAAACAAAAAATAGAAGTCACAAATTAGGGTTAGTGAACTTTGGTTTAAAGGTTGGTTTGGAGTGATGGTTTCACTCAATTGGAAAAGTTCATCTCTTGAAATTTTGGTTTTGAACTAGAATTTGAACCCTTTCAACACNGTTAGACATTGAAGAATAGACGATTGCCTAACTTGTTGCGTTGAAAGCATTGCAAGTGAAGGACAAAGCATCCATGTACGTGTTGTACCGAGTTGTCCATGAGTCCAACTTTGACAACATAGCAAATGCTAAATCTTCAAAAGAAGCGTGGGATATATTAGAGAAAGCTTATAAAGGGGATAATTGTATAAAGTAGGTCAAACTTCAAACTCTCAAAGGCGAGCTTGAAAGCATGAGGATGAAAGAGGTTGAAGGAGTGGCCCTGTACGTCTCTCGGGCTGAGACGTGATGAACCCACTTGAAAGGAATGGAGAAACACTGCCCACTAATATAAGGACCTGTCGACGCTCTCAATTGAAGAGTTTGTCAGGTCACTTGAGGCGCATGAGCAGTAGAGAAGGAAGAAGAAGGAAGAGTCTCTCAATCAAGCACTTTAGGCAAAGGAAACCATAACCAGAAGAAGGCACCTTATACAAAAAAACACTCAAGGTCATGGTGGTAGAGGTAGAGGAGGATATGAAAAAGGTAAAGAACAATTTGGTCAAGAAAATTGGCATGGCCAAGGTTGAGGTCAACGGAGAGGAGGTCGGTCAAGCAACTCAAGCATAGAGTGCTTTAATTGTGGAAAGTATGGCCATTGCACAAAAGACTGCAAGTCAAACAAGTGCTACAATTGTGGCAATGTCGAGCATTTCGTGAAGGATTGCTTTATACATAAGACCAGATGAAAGATATGTCGAAGAGGTCTTGAAGAAGTTTAAAATGTCAAGTTGCAACCCGGTTTCCACCCAATGGAACCAGGCACAATGCTTTCAAAATATAGTGAGCGAGACCGAGTTGATGCAAGAAAATACCGAAGTTTGATTAGAAGTCTTAGGCATCTTACAAATACAAGACCAATTCAATGCTAACCCCTTGTTTACTTGAATGGATTTGGGAGAGAGTGATTGAATGGATTTGAGAGGATTTGAAGTTAAATTTTTTTGTTGTTTAGTTGAGTGAATTTGTAGGTAAGTCAGAGTGGATTTGGAAGTAAAGGGGATTGTGATTCGAGTTGATAACAAATCAGTCACTAAAATGGCGAAGAACCCAATAAATAATGAGAGACGCAAGCATATTGATGTTCAGTTTCACTTCATCTGAGAACAAGTGAAAGAAGGAAACATGGCGTTAGAGCACATAGGAAGTCGAGAACAAGCTACTGATATGTTCATGAAGCCATTATCGACCACTCAATTCGAAAATAACAAGAGGGTGATTGGAATGAAGGACAACAAAGACATTTAAGTTTATGGGGAGATTTTGTTGGGTAAACTTAAATGTGGCTAGTTGCCTTTAGTAGTGTTGGTAGAATTAAGTGTCTTAGGAGATTGCAAAGGTTAGGAGTACTTTTAGTAATGATTGTGGCATGCAATACAGTTCATTAATTATGTTTTAGGTAGTAGTTGTATTTAATGGATGTAGTTAAAGAGCCAAGACAAAATAGTCTATAAATAGTTCTTGTACTATTCAACGTATTTACACAACAAGTAATACAAGAGAGTGTTTATCTAGAAAGACTTGTTTGTCAAAAAAATAAACACATGGTTAAAGTGTCCAAAATTTCATATTTCTTATAATGAAATATCTAAACAAAATATCTTATGACATTGGATTTTAAATTTCTTCAAAATTGCATTCTACATAGATGTTATAACATTCTCTACACGAAAGACACAAAGGAGAGAAAATTGGTAAACAAATGTTCAAATTTCACATCTAACCTTACATTGAATATATAAATTCAGCCCTCAACCATCATGCCTTTTAGATGCCATCCTTCAATCTTTGATCCTTTATTCATTAGCAAATCCTGCATATCTAAAAATCAAAGAGATGACGTATTCCAATACCAAATAATCATAACACGTTCAGCTTGGTTTGATATCTGAAGCACTAATATGATAAAATCGCCATTAAAACTCAATTAACTTTAGGCCAAAAACTAAAAAAGATCTCACCTAGTTTAAATCCTACAATAAGCCTCTAGCAATCATTTCACGAAGAAGTTTCTCAGCCATATCATTTTTATTTTCATCAAAGAGATAACAAATAACAGTTTCATAAGTTACAGCATTAGGGTTGCAACCACTTTCTTCCATTTCTGACAGCATGGCCAAAGCTTCACCAAACAAGCCCCATTTACAAAGTCCATTGATCATAACATTATATGTCCTGACATTTAGATGAAATCCTTTAATCAAAAGATTCTGGAAAATCTCTTGTGCCCTCTTAAGTCTTCCACCTTTGCAAAATCCATCAATAAGTATTGTGTATGTATGCTCAGTGGGCTGAAGTCCACTGTCTTTAATTTTTTTGAGTAGTTCAATTGCCCTATCTACCTGATGGCTTTTGCACAAAGCATGTAACAAACAATTGTAGGTGACTACATCAACATGTTGACCAGTATCATGCATCTCATCAATAAGCTTCCAAACATGAGATAGTTTTCCTGATTTGCACAAACCATCAATAACGGAATTGTAAGTCACTGTATTTGGAACAATATTTTTCTGATGCATTTTTTCAAACATATTGACCGCCTCATCCACCATCTTATTCTTACATAATCCATTAATCATGATGTTGTAGCTCCGAACATCCGGAATCACTCCCCTTAAAGTCATAGTGTTAAATACATCTTTGGCCCTCTTCACATCCTTGACTAAATAATACCCATCCATTAAAGAATTATAGGTAATAACATTAAGTTTTACACCAGCTTTCACCATCACAGCCAGCATATGTTTAGCTTGTTTCAACTTTCCTTCCTTACAGAAGGCATCAACCAATACATTGAAGGTATACACATCCGGGCTGATGCTTTTCAGTACCATTTGGCTAAATAAATCAATGGCTTCGTGCAATTGATCCACAATGCAGAAACCATACATTAAAGCAGTGTAAGTGATGACATTGGGAGAAACTCCCTTGACAACCATTTCAGAGTATAAATCATTAGCCTCAGCAACAAGTTTATCTTTGCATAGGCTATCAATGATTGAGCTGTACATTACCACATTAGGCATGACCAAACGTCCTTCAATCTTTCTCAGCAACTGCACAGCAACCCTGGTTTCTCCACTCTTGCATAACCCATTGATTAAGGTTCCATAACTAACTTGATCCAACCGAACTCCCTGAGCTACCACATTGTCGTGAAAGATCAGTGCTTTCTTGACCTCACCACTGATACAGAGACCATTGATGAGTGTGTTGAAGGTTACGGTATTGGGGTGATGACCCGTCTTGAGAATTTTGCCGAACACAGAGAAAGCTGAGGCCATTTGATGGAGGTGGCAAAAGCAATTGATGAGGATGGTTAAAGTGCAAACGGTGGGAATAACTCCACTGGATTCCATCTGCTTAGAGAGGGAAATGACTGTAGGGTAGTGATTGATCCGCATAAGTGATCCTAGAATGCGATTAAACTGAATGATGGGTGGTGGTTGATGCATTTGAAGCATGCCATTGAACAAGGTAACGGCATCTTGGGGATTGTGAAAGCATGAGGGGCGAGAGTGTGAATGAAGGTGATAAGAAAGAAGAAAAGGAGGAAAATTGTGAAACGAAAGAGGGTGAGAAAGACAAAGGGCAAGCTTTAACCTTAGCATTTGATTGTGAAACAGGTAAGAAGAAAAACAAAAACTCAAAAACAAAAAATAGAAGTCACAAATTAGGGTTAGTGAACGTTGGTTTAAAGGTTGGTTTGGAGTGATGGTTTCACTCAATTGGAAAAGTTCATCTCTTGAAATTTTGGTTTTGAACTAGAATTTGAACCCTTTCAACATAAAAACAACATACACTTCAGCTTTTAGCTTTCCATTAAACAGAGGAGAAGATAATGGAAGCAAGGCAGATACTGTGGTGACTGTTTAGAAGTTAAAGTCGCTTTCTTTTCCAATGTTCTGAAATATCCATTAGATAAAACTGTAATGAAATTCTGAATTTAAATATAAATTTTAATAGTAAATACCTTTTTCTAATATTTTATTATTGTTTTAAGAAAAAATATGTTATATAAAATAAAAATAAAATAATTTGTTCAAATTTAATTAAAATTTGTGAAAATATAATTTCTAACAATCCTAAAAATAGAATTCATCCTTTAATATAGTTTCTACAACGTATAGTATTAAGAATACATATTCTTATAGATGCACATAAACAAATGTTTTAGATTTCAATCCATCAAAACGTTTACAAAAAGATATAGTTCTTAGATAAAATAGTGTTACTAAAAATAAAACTGACTACATAATATAAAAAGTTCACATACATTAACCAATCCGACGAAAACACTAAGCTACAATCACTACTTTTAAGGTCTAGTTTTACTACTACATGTAGACTCCTATGCTCATACCACTGTACTAATCATGGTAAGAATAAGACAAACAATATACAAGAGAAAATGATAAGCTAATTATAATTAAACATAAATATAATATAAAATTTCAAAATATAACATATTACATTATTAATCACTTTAAAATAATGCATTATATTTCTAAAACAATCAAGCTTCACACATGGTATACTGGTCATAGAAGTTTTGATATAATGTTGTTTCAATCTCGTGATAAAGATAAGTTAACTTATGATTTTTCCAAAAAAGAAGTCTCACATAAGTTTTCACCATGAAACCTCATTCAAACCACCTAAATTATGACACTATATGTGAGTTTATATCCTAGAGTATAAAATAGCTTATGATCAATACATTTCATTAATCAATTCATAACACTAAACTAGAAAGGACTTGTATTTCTTCCATAAAAGCCAAGCTCCAAATTATACAATTCACAATGTTCATTCCATCATTCCATTTTCTTACTCTTAATCCACTCTTTAATTTATAAACTATTTTCCCACAACATTCACATATTCTAATATTAGCTATAATTGTCTTTAAATTTAGCAGTCTTACTCATCAAGACAAATTACTCGCTCAATAAGTTCCACTATAGGAACCCTCACTTATCGACTAATAGTCTCGCTTAATGAGTTGATCACTAAAACCAAAATACAAATTTATTTGTTTAGTGAGACCTCATCTTTTGACTTTCTTTTAAACTTGAATCTGATTGTTGCTCCATTAGAAGAGACTTGCCTAATTAGTCTACAAAATGCAGACTAGTAAATGTGCACTTTAAACAACACCTAACAACATAAAACCCAACTTATGCTTCATTCATATCATCAATACACAATTTACATACAAACAACTTATGATAAGTCAAGTAAACCACTCTCGTATATTAAATTAGTAACTTTACATATCAATATCAATCTTTAGATATACATCATAGGTTCCTCATTCAAACACATTTACACCAAAACAATTAGCTTTAACGTAAATCCAATTCATAAAAATCAAAGTATCAAGATATACACTAACCATAACATAATTTAAGGTAATAAAAAATCAAAATTAACTTTCCTTGTCTTAGTTAAACATTCTTTTTCCTCAAAGGTGTTCTTTAGAACTCTATTCAGACATAATTTGATAACAATAACCTCAATAGATCTAAATTTATCATCTAGACTGCAAAACAACAAATTTCTTAAAAACTCTTTTAAACCATACACATTAGCTTAAAATTGACATACAACTTTAAAGAACGAAAATACTTTAAAAGAAAAAGATATATTTTTTAACTATTTGATTAGAGGAACAAACAGAACCCTCACTATCTTAAAAAATATTTTTATAACAAATTAATTAATATTTTTATAGAGTAATTTTGAATAAAGGCTACAAAGACATTTTTTTAATAAAAATTGAATTGTAACACACATAACTCTTACATTAAACTTTTTACAAAATCTCCAATTGTTTTTCACATTAATTACGTGCAAGAACATCATTTATGTGATAAAAAAACATCATCTCGCTCAAAATCTAAATAGAATTAGTTTGCCTTGTTTTTATCTTTATTGCATTATAATACACTAAAAAAACTCCTAAAAACTCTAATCATAAAACATCATATAATCAAGATTAAAATTCCAATTTTAAAACATTCTCTCCACCCAACCAAACCACAATAAGGGAAAAAATTAAAATTAAAATAAAGAGAAAAGACAAGGAGAAATCATCTTGATAATTAATTGCAATCTTATCTTTTTATAAAATGGTTCAAATAAAACTTTTCAATTGTATAACCTATATTACAATCGCATAAATAGATATATGTTTTTTTAATATTTTGTGTTCGTAAAAATTATAAGATGCATCTCAATGATTTACGTTATGAGAAGTTTGAGTGTTATTTATAAACTATGTACATTATGAAAAGATATAATATTTATAGATTTTAAATCTTCAACTTTTATTTTTTTAACATTACTTACGAGTTAAGACATTCTAAAATCTATTTTTTTATATTAATTATTGTTGAAAAAAAACTTTTCAAAATTTTTGAAACGTTGTTTCCGACACAAGACTTTTACAACAAATAAAATATTTTAAAATAAGTTTTTGGAATTAATATTTTAAAACATTTTTTTCAAACATACAAAATACTTTTTAAAACAAGTTTTCCGAAACAAGTTTTTCATCAAACACGTTTTTCGGATAATTAATCTATGATAATAAATTTTTTATAATATTTTAATCTATTTATGTGTTATTGTGTAATTAGTTCATATTAATATTTATTATTATTATTAATTGAATTAATTCCATTAATTGCAGAATGAATGATGTTAAAACGTTGTTGAAAGTATCGTTATCTTTTCTTTGTTTCTTTCTCATGCAATAAGATATAATTAGGTAGAGCTGTTACATTGAAGAAGACGGTGTGCAGTAGTGTAACGTGACACTGTTGTTATTGTACAAAAGAAGAAAACCTTTCAATTTGCTATTGGCACGCCTGTTCCAATAAGCTCACAACGCGCTTTCTCTTTATCTGTAATACCTATCCTAGTTTCTACTATTAGTTCTTATACTTAAGCATAAACATAGAATCTAATAATATCTAAACTAATCCACTAAAGTATAAAATTTAATTTTAAGCATAATTTAAATTTAATTACCACTTTGTTGATTAAGTCCACACACTTATTTATCTCATAAAAAAAGTCACTACACTAATTATGTGTATTTTTTTTCTTCAATATGATATGAACAATCACTTTAATATTATTTTTATAAATAATCAGTATCCTCTTTACCACAAAAATATTATTTCAATTTTAAATGATTAATATCCTTTTTACCATTAAATATTATTTAAAGAAAGTATTTGGATATAATATTTATTTTATAATTGTGTAATTACCATTCCATACATAAAAATAATTATTAATAACAAATTAATATATTAAGTAAAAGATTATCACCATCTAATTCTGTATGTATAAAAACCATAAAATATCTAAATGATTTATATATGTGTGTATAAATATTAGTGACTGGCAATCTTATAACCATAATCAAAATTATTATCTTCCGTATCATGTTTCCATATTTGTCCAGTAAATTTTAGTAAAATTTAAAAATATATTTTGAAGTATAACAATGATGAAACCAATTACTTTTACCACCATTTGATAACATACCTCTTTTCATAGTTTTTTTTATGATAATATTAGTTTTTTCTATACATGTAAGTTTGGCTCTTCTAATACGGTTTGCTTATAACGATATTAACTAGGTAATAAACCAAGATTAAAAAACTCTCAATTGAAAAAGTTTACAAGATTAAAATATTTATAAGTAAACAAGTTAGTTATTTTTTAAAAAAACATTTATTTTCAATATAAAAAAATATAATTAACTCCTAATATATTATCAATCTAAATATTTTTAATTTATTAAATAACTATATATAAACATTTTATTTAAGCTAACATAATTTTTTATAAGAGATTTTAATAATTCTTTTACTTATTTATATAAGAAAATGATACAATAATGTAAGATATTAAAATACAATTAAATATATTTAACTTTTTTTTATTAAATAAACATATTTTTAAAATATATAAGATAATTATTTAATTTTTTATAAAAAAAATCATCTAAATCAAAACTAAATAAGATATTTCAATTTGAAAGTTTAAAATAACAATATGAATAATAAATCTATGATGTTTTTATTATATGTTGTTTACTTTTTATTTTCTAATATATAACTTAAATTTACATTTAAATTCTATTAATTATTTATTTTTATTTAATAACTAATATATATATATATATATATATATAATAATTTAAAAAAAACCTTTTAGTGTAAATTTTATTAGAGTTAATCCAATATTAAATGTTATAAAAAAAGTTCTAATAAATTAATAAAATTAATAAATAAAGTATAATCAAAAACTTTATTAATTTTATTAATAATTAATATGATATAAAAATATTGATTAAATTAATATAATAAAATTTAAATATATCCAACTATCTAATAATATATATATATATATAT